GACATATGCTATTATTAGGGACGGCTTACTGCTCTCCCATAGTTGAGTACCTAGTACTCAAAATCGTTAAATAATTTTTCTAAACACATATAGCCTTACTGTTCATTTAAGCTTAATCATCTCGATGGTCACGAATGTCCTGTCTGTGTTGTAAAATTTCTGCATTGTATATCACTGCGTACGAAAATCAGTTCTTTTCACTGTATATATCAGCTTGCATTGTACATACGCATTGATCACTAATGTCCATTTTTCTGTGTGCACATAAGCTATGTAAGATATATCCAGAAATAAAATTATCTTAAATCGGGTGAGGCCTAATGTAATGAACCTCGTACTCTAAGTCATTACCCTATACAACCAAACGATAGACCAAACATCCGTTGGGTTAAATTTAAATAGGGAGAGAGAATTTACTTCCAGAAAGGCAGAGGTCGACCAGTGCGACAGTTAGCTCAGGCCTGATACTCCACACTGGCGAGACGGGAAAAGCGGAGCGAAAGAGAGATGAATGATGATGGTAAGCTAGGAGGAGCATGAGAACATAGTCCTGCTGCACTGGGTGAAATCCATCCAGTCCGGTGGCTTGTAAGAACGCTACGACGGCTCCTATAACCTCATTCGTGCTGCTGGCGTCGAGACTACAGGACCCAACACTGCCTTAATCATTTGATGGCCTGAAACCATTAACCTCAGATTTAACTTCACCTTGTACCACCACACCTCCTTAGAATCAGTCCGGGAACTCCTAACGACAGCGTTCACCATGACCACATCACGTAAAACTACAGGTTAATATAACCACAGCGGCACGTTTCAGGCCTGTGAAATGGCACTGGAACCTCAAAGACGAGACAGCAATTTCTATCTCGCCAGTATACGCAACCCTTCCCCAGGCGCTATCGCCTCTTTGTTTCGCATTTCTTCAAAACACGCGGAAAGTGTCAGCACTAACCATTTAAACAATCAATATTTCATGCTTTTTACGGGCGAAGCTCCTTAAGGCGTGGGCTGTGGGTCCCCTGTATGTAGTCACCTCTCGCTGTGTTCGCTAGACGGCAGTACCGTCCCCTGCATGTTAGTTACTCTATATGTTACCTAAAGGTAGCATATACAATACCTCTACTGTATGTAGCCACCTCTCGTTTAGTTCTGGCAGTGTTCACTAGATGGCGGTACTTGTAGCTGATGATGAAAAGATGCAAGATGTTATAAACTAGACGGTGGTACTTGTAGTTGACGATGAAAGATGCGAGATGTTATAAAATAGGAATGACGTCACATATGGCGCGTGTCATTGGTGGAAGGCAACCGTTCTATTTAGTGCGGCGACGTACGCTAGGGGGAGCGTTGTAATAAAATCAAGTGTGCAAAATGTATGGAGGATTCTGGGTTTACCAGGTTTACCTCCGGTGCTTCGCCCACTCATCATTATTCACTTCGTTGATATGGCGGCACTTTTTTCCAAATACACGCTCTCAAGTCCGCTTGAGCAGTCGAAAGCGAGCAATTAAGACGAAGCGAGATCAGTCGATCGCGCGGGAAAGTCATGCAAGACACTGCAGAACGGGCACTCGACGGCGCGACAAAGCATGGTACACACCTTTTCCCAGGAAGGGGAAAAAAACACCGCCATGATGGGCTGTGCGCGGGAGTACAAACGCTAAGGGTGCAGCGTTGTCAGTGCATTTTCGAGGGAACGCGCCAATTTGCACAGCCCAGGGAGGGCTATGGCGGTGCCCAGGGAGGCGTTTATGAAAAGGTGAATAGAAGACGATTCGCAACCTGATTCCTCTCGCGGATATGGACCAATCGAAGACCCATTTTCTTGCGAAGTCACGTGATCAGAATGATCACTTCGGAAAATTCCGCCGCAACGACGGGAAACGCCGTGTACGAAACAAAGCGCTCGTTTTACGTGCATTCAAAGGTTGTTAATGGATGCACCAACGATGCTTCTCAAGGACATAAGGTTCAGAGCAGCAGGCTCCGTTAACACTCGTTATGTGCCGAGACTATGGTACCAGAGTAGGGCTCGAAACGTTTGAAAGAGGCTGACGAAACAAAACCACAGACCGATGTCGCTCAAACAGAATATTTTCGCCGTTGGGTAAACAAACACATGCGCTCAAAATACGACTCGTTCGCTCGCTTGTGATAATAAGAACATCCAGCACTGGTCAAGAACCATCCCTACTCTTGCTATGCATGTCTTTGAGAAAACACGGTATACTCTCCTTTCACTTTTGAGCTTGTATTGATCGGAATAGCCAAGTTGGTCTGCGAGGATAGAGAGCCCCTTACTGGCTTGGCTAAACAGACCCGAGGGTACATGTGCATGTCGGCTCGGAGACTGAAACGGCGATACGTGTGGTGTGTGGGTTTACAGAGTGGTCTGCGAGGATAGAGAGCCCCTTACTGGCCTGGCTAAACAGACCCGAGGGTACATGTGCATGTCGACTCGGAGACTGAAACGGCGATACGTGTGGTGTGTGGGTTTACAGAGTGAAGTGACGAGTACATGAGGTGTATGGACTTAGGTGTATGTGGTGCATGTGGTGTATGGACTTGAAATGTTTATCGCAATGGCTGGCGAAGCTAGGCCACTCCCTTCTGCGTGACGTTTCGTTTGCGATTTTTAGGCACAACTGCGCAACGGAGAGGCCGTCAGACAGTATGTCCATCGATTGATCACAGTGTTTTATTAGATGTCTCACAATTTCTTGTGCGTTTACCTAAAGGAACTCGAAGGCAAAAGTCATGCATGTTCTGCTTTCAAGTGCGTTTAATATCACTTTCAATCATGTCGTGCGTAAAGTGCTGGATATAGCGAGGACAATAGATTTCTTTCATGCAGTTTTTCTGTCATGGCTATAGCACCTTAGCCGCCTCGCTGCGGTGGTCTAGTGGCTAAGGTACTCGGCTGCTGACCCACAGGTCACGGGATTGAATCCCGGCTGCCGCGGCTGCATTTACGATGGAGGCGAAAATGCTGTAGGCCCGTGTGCTCAGATTTGGGTGCCACGTTGAAGAACCCAGGCGGTCGAAATTTCCGGAGCCCTCACTACGGCGTCTCTCATAATCATATGGTGGTTTAGGGACCTTAAACCCCACATATCAATCATTGCAGCACCTTAGCCGGGACCTAAGAGTACACTTAAAGGGTGCGGCTTGTCGCCAATATAGATCTCATGCAGGCGGATCACACTCGCAATCATGTGCACGAGTCACCACAGGGAATTACGCCAAGCACTTGGCAAGTATTTTGTTTTTAGGGGCGAAGCTCCTTAGGGCGTGGGCTGTGCGTCCCCTGTATGTAGCCACCTCTAGTTTAGTTCTTGCAGTGTTCACTAGATGGCGGTACCGTCCCCTGTATGTAGCCACCTCTAGTTTAGTTCTTGCAGTGTTCACTAGATGGCGGTACCGTCTCCTGTATGTAGCCACCTCTCGTTTAGTTCTTATAGTGTTTACTAGATAGTGGTACTTGTAGCTGATGATGAAAAGATGCAAGATGTTATAAACTAGAAAGCGGTACTTGTAGTTGATGAAAGACGCGAGATCTTATAAAATAGGAATGATGTCACATATGGCGCGTGTCATTGGTTGAAGGCAATCGTTTGACTTAGTGCGGCGACGTGCGCTAGGGGGAGCGATGTAATAAAATCGAGTGGGCAAAATGTACAGAGGATTCATGGTTTACCAGGTTTACCTCCGGAGCTTCGCCCACTCATCATCATTCACTTCGTGGATATGGCGGCACTTTTTTTCCTACAGAAAAGACGAGGCAGAGTACACTTCTCGGCGTGATGGCATTGATCGCTGCTAGTCAGCGTTCCTATTTCACCGGGAAAACGCAGCGCTCTTGTTTCACGCTGTAGCTTGCACTGACCTGTATGCAGTCGAATCTGGTTAATTCGGGCCCTGTTAATTCGGAAAACCGGATAATCCCGACGCGCTCTCTGGTCTAGTCAAGCACGTGTAATGTTTAATTGCATCAAACTTACGTTAATTATGTCCTATTCTTAGACGAGATCGGTAACAGGAAACCATCGGAGAGACGACTAAGACGACGAAAGCGCTTGTGTTGTTGTTCTGCCATCTTGGCTGCAGCTGCCTCTGCTTCTCCCGTGACAATATTTCGCCGCGCCTCGGTTGATTCGGACGATTTTGGGAGGCCTCCTTATTACACTAAAACAAGGGAGGGGGGAGGGGCAGTATGAATACTGCGCTAAACCAAGCACCGCAAACGTGCGACGCAAAATAGAGCAAACGGCGTTCGTGAACCTGAACCTAAACGACCACGAGCCTCAAGAAAGGCGTAATCGCCAACTACAAGTGTGTCGATCGTAACCAAGGCTTCGGTAGCTGCGGCGGAATTCTTTCGCTTTCAATCTTGTTTGTGCTCTCGAGCCGTGGGCTAGAGGTGAATGAAGTGAATGAAAATTGTGGGTTTCGCTCTGCTTTTATGCAAAATAAACACTGGATTTCCGTATAATCAAGAAAATAAAAATCCGCTGATGTACTATGCGGTTGTTCATTGTATTCTCGGTACGTTCTATAATTCGGCATCCGTTCGTTTTGGCCATTTTTCTGGTTCCGTTTAATCCAAATGAACGAGTTTTCACTGTAGTTTAGTTGACCAGGGACGCCGCCATTACATTATAATAAAGACGCAAGTTATGGTGATCTGTGACGTAGTGATGACATCAATAAGTATTTTTTGTGTCCATCACTTTATCTTGACGCCGACGCTAACTCCTCACCTTGATGAGACATCTAATTATTTCGCCTTCAGAAAGCGCATGACCCGACACGACCACGAATGATTGAAATACAAAAAAAGAAATACGCGTAATCACAAAGAGAGAACTCGAGACAGATCAGAAAAGGACGTTATGTCCTGACTCCTGCCTTGGTGGTAACGCGTCTTGTGTTTCAATAAGCATGTACCCGCTAGCCCGGGATCAAGTTTTACTACGCGACCTCTTCTTTGCGCAGGCAACATGCTGTCGTGGATGATCAGCCGCAAGCGGGAGCTCGACCTGCAGGAGCAGGCCATGCGCCGCGAGCAGGAGGCCAACGCCCTCGAGTACGAAATGAAGAGGCGGGCACTGCAGCGGGACCTGCAGGACCGGAGGAGGTTGGCCGCTGCTCGGGGTACCGTGCTCTGCATCGTGGGCTGCGGTCTGGCGCTCGGGGCGCTGGGCGTCGCGCTCACCACCGTCGGCGTTCTGCTTAGAGGGGGACCGTGGAAGGCTCCCTGCATTGTGGCTGGACCGACGTGCATCGTCATGGGATTCCTCGTGCTCCTGCTTTCGGTCGAGACCATCATCAAGTGCCGGCGCGCCCAGCGGTTCCAGCAGTCCGACTCCAAGGAGACCCTCCTGGAGCGGGCCCTGCACAAGGCCACGGGAAAGACGACCACGAAAGACACTAACGTGGACGACGCGACGCCTAGCAAGTCCGGGAGGGTCGCCCCAGGCACCAGTGGTAGCGGCGGTGCCTGCGCAGCGGGTGCCTGTGCGGGCACGGGAGCTAACACCTTACTCCTGGACCCCCAACGACTGGTCGAGCCCTTACAAGTTGAAGAGGGAGCCGCGGACACCTAGCCCAGGGCACCGTATGGCTGATGACGATTCATAGTGCTCCGTGGAGTTCGTGCCGCCGGAGTGCGTGTCTGAGATCGTTTTCAAAACACTGCACGCCTGAGCCTGGCCAGCCATGAGCCTCAGAGACAGCCAACCACCTGCTGCTGTTCCAACATCTCAGAGACTTGTAGGGGTGTTCTGCGGATGGCCTAGGAGGCGGTTCTCGAGCGGAGGTCTACATGTGAAACTGCGGATGACGATTAGCGTGCCGTGGTTTCTCAATACTATGAAACTTGACGAAATCCGTTTCGAAGTGCACAAGGTACTACTTGAGGCACCGGTAGCCGCTTGCCTGTTAAGACATCCCGTTGAAGGCGTCCAGACGTCCTTGTGGAGGTCTTGAACTTCGTCGTGAGTGTCGTTCTCCCTGCCAATTGGCGACGGTTTTCTTGCTGCCTTACGGCTCTAGCCCTCACGGATAGCGAATTCGTCCGAGACGTCCCCTCGAAGGCATATGTGCACAGTGAGGACGCGCCTTCGAATGTGGCCCTACGTCATGGGCAAAATACCACTCAACTATACCGGCTCCGTGCCTTCCTTACTGGCGGAAAAGTTCTACTGGACTTTTTTTTTAAAGAAGCCAGCTGTCATTCGGATTACCACTTAGCCGTCTACGTCTGTGAGTGTTATACGTTGTGAAGAGCGGTAATCCCATCCCAGTTTAGCAGTGCAGTGAGCGTGGTAGTGCCGCTGTGAGCGAAACTGCGAAAGCGCTCCTCTACGTCACCCATCTTCGCCACGTTTTTTAAATGTGAAAACGACGACATCCCAAGTCAGCACACCTGGTACGGAAAATATGTGGGTGATATCACTATCCGTATACGATGCGGTTATTCGAACACGTGGAATTAAAACTGTCACAGCACATCGGTGGAAGCCTGCTGTACTGGCGTGGGCAGATGAACGGTAAATGTGTTGAGAATAAGTATTTATGCGTGCTCACTGCATGACTAGCGCAGCATCTTGGTGTTCGGTGGTCGGTGCTTCGCCGATGCTTTGAGAACACAACGCCAATGTTACATTGTGAGACGCGACTTGGTGTCACTCATCTTTACACTGCGACAACAGAAAGTCACGTGTTGCTTCGCGAAATGGTCCAGTAGAAAACAATGCGTGATTTGAAGTGGTACTTGCGGCAGCTACTCTTGACTGGTTGTTAATGACAAACTTCGATAAAGAGAGCCATCAGAAAGATGACAACGCCTTGACTGTGTTCGTCGAAAAATACATGACAGATATTCGCACATTGTTGATGTGCTTACTGTATGAGAACCTCGTAGCTTTATCAAAGGATGTCGTGGCTTTTTTGTCAAGTTTTTGCCGAGCGAGTCACCGCGTGGTATAGGCGCTGCTGGCTTTGGTGGCGAGAGGAACTGTGCATTCCGTGGTGCGAAGTAAGAGTAATGTCCTTGGCGAGGTCGTCTAGCTGCCGTGTTGCGGGAACCACGAAGCTTAACTTGAAACTGGGTGTTAACTCAGTCAAGACGAGCGTGCACCGATACTGACGCAGGTACCAAAAGTATACCATCTCTCCTGGGATATACCCCAGGCTCTAGTAAACTCTATCTGTGGTTCGCGGAGAGGTGGATCGTTTATGTGAGCCGTATTTCCTTCTTTAAAAAGGGCAATGGAATGAATCACGTCCATAAAGAACTTTGCCATTGAACGCAAGCCGGAGTAAATAGGGCGTTCAGCAGTGACAGTAATGCCGTACTGCGTGTGGCAGAGTATTACTGTTATATGTTAGCGCACCACACTCCGAAAACGTTTCAGTTTCGCGAGATTATTGATGCGCACGTTACGTTATGAGATTAGGAGTAGCTGCTAATGGTATTGCAGACTAGAATACCTGTACGGGGCAGCCACACAGGTATTGCCGTATCGACCGGACTGTAAGCCAGCACCACTAAACACCTTGATAGACTTTATTTTTTTATCAGTGCCTCTTTGCTGCACGCTTAATACGCTAATATCATACCATAGTTCTTCTCTGTCATCGTCAGCTGGACTATACGTCCAGTGCAGGGCAAAGGACTCTGCCATTTTTATCCACCTAACCGATACAGTAACTGCTGCGGCCCCGCTATTTCCGCAGATTTCATTCTTATCTACCCGCCAAACCATCTGCCTCCCACTCACGGACTTACTTTGTCTTGGAATCCGGTCTGCTAAGCTGAGTGACCAGTACTTATCAAGTCTCGCTAACTGCCCTGCCCATGTTCATTTCGTTTTGATCGCGACTTATGTTCCCTTAACACCCATCTGTCCCGTCGCCCTTTCTGCTTTTTTTCTTGTCCCTTAAGGCTACGCTCCTATTTCGTTCCGGGCCCCGCTAACTTCAAAATATTTCAATGTACTACAGAGCTGTATTAGCCACTACAATCGCCTCATCATATTACAGTGAACATCAAGACAATTGCGTGGCTAATTGCATTCCTTGATAGTGGCCCGTATAACAGGGAACGGCGACACCACAGTGTAAACGGTACGGCGCTATCATCACTGCTGAAACACCTTTGCTCATGTACTATTGGCATCAAATGAAAACCGAACAGCGACAAGCCTTCGCGATGATATAGTGCGCGCCATCCACTTGTCGCCATGGACAGGCACGCACATATGCGCAGAGCTGCCGAACAGGATGCGCGCGCCTGCCAATGGTGGCAACTGCACGGCGCGCACTATACCATCGCGAAGGATTGTCGCTCATCGGGGTTTCATTTCATTTCCTGAACAGCGACAAGCCTTCGTGGTGGTATAGTGCGCGCCATCCACTTGTCGCCATGGACAGGCACGCACATATGCGCAGAGCTGCCGAACAGGATGCGCGCGCCTGCCAATGGTGGCAACTGCACGGCGCGCACTATACCATCGCGAAGGCTTGTCGCTCATCGGGGTTTCATTTCATTTCCTGAACAGCGACAAGCCTTCGTGGTGGTATAGTGCGCGCCATCCACTTGTCGCCATGGACAGGCACGCACATATGCGCAGAGCTGCCGAACAGGATGCGCGCGCCTGCCAATGGTGGCAACTGCACGGCGCGCACTATACCATCGCGAAGGATTGTCGCTCATCGGGGTTTCATTTCATTTCCTGAACAGCGACAAGCCTTCGTGGTGGTATAGTGCGCGCCATCCACTTGTTGCCATGGACAGGCACGCACATATGCGCAGAGCTGCCGAACAGGATGCGCGCGCCTTGAATGGTAATACCTGGACGGCACGCACTACACAAGGCTTGTCGCACTTCGTGGTTTCATTTGATGGCTACAGTACATTCGCAGAAATCACAGCCCACCATCTGGGCCGGACCAGGGATGCATTTGGTAGACGTTCTCACAGATATGTTGTACACGTGCCTGGAGTTTTTAGCCGCAATGTCTCTGTGCTGGTTGGAGACGTTCAGCGTGCACCAATGTGGCGGCATAATGAGTAAGAAAGAAAAAGAGCACGCCACGAGTATTGAAGAACGTACCTGGCATTTAGGTAGATTGCCTTGACTGCGCCGGAGGTTCTAAAAAGAAACAAAAAGAAACTGTGCAACTGATTGCATGGCTGTACGACCAAACTTTTTCACTCGTCGCGAATCGCATCACTTGTACATAATACAATACCATGGGATCAAAACTAGTGTAACCAAGCGTTTCTGGCTAGCCGTACGAATGTGCCGCGTATCTCATGCCTTAGGGCGCTTATCTTTGCCCTCATGTACGTCATTTATTTCTCATCGCACTTGTCACGCTTCCGCTATAATCACTCATATTTAAAATCTGCTGAATGTACCTCGATGCTCCTCGTTTTTTCTTTTTTTTTTGCAACAAGTGTCAGTGCTGTATGTACGTACCCGTATTGCAAAATGTTAAAGACGGTTTTTTTTCTTCTTTTTTTCCGAGTCCATCATGAGCCTAAAACGAAAGTCTGTGGCTTCGAGGTACCGTACAGACCGAAGCAATGGCCGCAGTTGTGTGCAGTACGCATAAGTGCTACTTGAATAATGAAAATTTTGTAATCGAGAACCGTGTGATGTAAACGATAAGCGTTTCCAAGCACAATCACTGAAGACGGCAACATAGTTTCATATAGCACACTAGAGGGAAACGCAGGGAGTTTCAGTCATCGTGGGAACAGTGAGCGCTGCACATATTTGCGTGTATACGCTTCGGGCTTTTCGGCTCCACGTGACCGTCGTGTGGACAGCAGCTGTTTTTGTCGCAGGACGAAGTTCAGCAGAAGTTCATGTCGTCCCACTTCACCCCTTCGACCATTTAAGGCCCATCGATTCAAATCGCAACTCTCGAGGTTCGCTGCGAACTGTCCTTTTATCCGAGGCAAAAGCCGAAACACAAGCAAGTGTGCGCTCGAAGTCAGAAGCACGAAGACTATCCATGCTCTGCCCGTCATTCCCGTGGTGGCTGAATTACCGCGGCGCAACGTTTCCCTCCCGTAACGTTTTAGGGAGTTCTATGTCCAGCAAAGAATCGTTTGCTAGATCTTTAAAAGACATTTCGTAGAACAATAAGCAAGGCGATCTTCGAGATGATGACGTGGCTCACGGGTAAAATTCAAGGTCGACGGTCATTGCCCAATCTCTGTACGGCATCTAACAACCCCAACCAGGAACGGTTAGCTGCAGCCAACAGCAACCGATGTTGGCGAAATTCGACTATACGGCGAAATTGGTGGCTAAAAATCGCCCTCTGTACCTTCAACGCCACTGAGCAGGGAGTGAACGCATTAAAGGACCGCATCGCAGGATATTCACGACCCTTCAAGCAGCTCCGCATATGAGCTCACTGCGTTTCAAACAGCTACATACCAACACTAGTCGTCAATGACACTTGTAAACATACGACGGTGACCTTCGCAGATCAGTCTGTGTTTGTTTCTCCTTTGAGGACAAGCTTCGGCACGCATAAGTGCCCTAAATAATGCATCTAACGGTTTGCTGTATGCTTCTTGCTATTAGAGGGACGGCTCAGTGCTCTCCCATTGTTGGGTACGAAGTACTCAAAATCGTTAAACATTTTTTAAAACATAAACAAACACACATCTAACGGTGTGTCCAATGCAACGCTCACATTGCAGTATTAGTCCTTCTTCGGCAACGGGACGGCTTTTTGCTTTCCCATAGTAGAGTAGCGAGAACTCAAAATCATTAACCACTTTTTCTAAACACAACGGTTCCGTACCACGATAGAATACATTTTATTCTAAACACTCTAACGGCCTTGTGTGGGGTACACGTGACAGCTTAAAGGGACACTCCAACACTTTTCACGACTTCATAGTTTTACCACAGAGAAACATACTATATAAAGAGTGGCCACTGGAGCCTTTTCACGGCCTAGCAAGACAAGGTCTGACCAACTGCTAGATGGCGTACCCATCCTCACATTTACTCCTTTGTTAAGACATGTAATAGCATCCTCAGGAGGACAATGAATACCCAAGTTTGGCATGAATTTTTTGCAAAAGAAAAAATTCTATTAATTTGTGCAATTTTCTATATCTATTCTACATCGTGTCCCAAGGAGGACCGTGCTTTACAACAGAAAACTGTAAAATATGACTTGAAAGTGTTGTCTTTTTGCATTTGTTTTGCACAAAGAGGCACATTCATGTGGTTCAGATGTACTGTATATGTATTTACTATGAAGAAGCATGGGTATGTGCAGCCTAGTGGTAAAGACACTCACTTTCGGAGCATGAGGGTACGGGTTTAGATCCCAGCGTCGGAAAGAAAAAAAAATGTTATTTTATTTATGCTGAAGACATCATTATCGGGTCCGACCAACCCACTCGTGACGCTGAAAGCAGCG